AACTTATTTGGTTTCCTTGTGGAATAAGTATTGTGAGATGCTGAGTAATCCTTGTGGGATTAGAACTCGGTAATAGAACACGTTTAGGATTGATATGTTATATCAATTGTGAAGTTTGAATCCTAAGTCGATTCTGATAGGGAATGACAAAAGGAGTACTATAAAAGCTTATGCGATTACTCTTGCAATATACGGTTATATAGCATTCCAAGCCCTGTTGTTTGGGAGAACCATTGTGATTTGCTAAAGAGGAGAAGGTTGTAAGCTGTGAAGTCGCAATGGCTTCTTCATCTGGTTCTAATTATGCAGGTAAGTTCTCGAGTCTTTCTCATGTTTTTGTTCATCTCTTGGTTAAGTGGAGCTGTGATTTAATTGGTTGTATCCGTGTTTTTAGTTTGATGAACCGTTCAAGTTTATTCTTACAATGGTAACCACAAGCTCCACCAAATGTTCCTGAGCCGCCCTCGTAGAATGTGGCATGAGCTTGCTTCCAAGGGCCAGCAGTGAACCTTGGCTTATGGTGCTTTATGGGGTGGTGAACTCCAAAGCGGCCGCGGTTGGCTGCAACCACATGGACATGGTCAACTAGCACAAAAAGAAAGACAGAAAAGGAACCCAAAAGAGCTTGCAAAGTAGGTAATGTCATGGTGATTTAATTTCTTTGTTTTTAATTTGAAGATTCTTGTGCTGCTTAGGCATATGTTATATAGTACAAGATTGTTGTTATTTTGTTAGTTGCAATTGTTTATAGTTTACTCGGTACCTCATTCAATTATATCATTGCTAGCAATACACAACCTATATATATATATATATATATATATTTTATATGGTTGTAACTCCTCCCTCTCTTTGTTGATTGGAGATGTCCTCATGACTCAAAATCTACGATTAGTTTTTTTTCAACTAAACAGTAATAACAGAAATGTTTAGTAATAACAGAAATGCCACATGGCACTATTTCAGTAGTAGAGTTTGTTAGTATAGTTAGAAGGGTATTATTGTAATTGGGATATATGGCTATATAAGGGATTATATAGCTATTATTTCATTAAGTTCTATTGTATACATTTTCTCTAATCAATCAATACAATCTTTTTTATTTCTCTCTATCATCTTCCTCTTCCTCTGTAGCAATTCTTCATCTTTTACAATGTAGTAAACATGGTATCAGAGCCACCAAGGCTCACGCCATGGATCTTAGTGGTCGATTCCTCCTCTCATTTTTTTTTCTTCATTACTTTCTATCGTTTTTCGCATTTTGCTTGTAAGAAGCTACAGAGAATATCCGCAACCGCCTCGTTGGGGTTCATCTGAACTAGGTCACTAGGAGGGAGGGCACCACGAGCGATCTTCCCTTGTTTCTCAGACGGAGGAAATGTCTGAAGGGTTGAATCTTGAAATTTCACAGTGAGGTGGCCTGGATCTGGAACCGCAGAAGGAACAAATCCCGAGTCGTTTTGGTTGTCAATGGTGGTATAATTTTGGGACATCATCTTGCCCTCTATATGTTTCTTCTTCTTCTTCTTCTTCTTCGTTGTGTCCGCTCGCTTTCTCGCTCAGATGAGATATCTCGTCTTGGCCTTTTTCAATAATTGAATTGTTTCTGGGTTTTTGAAGAGTTGAATTGTTTCTGGGTTTTTCCTCTGGGTTTCAAAATTTGTGCAGCTTGGTGTGGAATTTGACTCTCTTTCCTCTAGGGCACTCTGCAGATTTTGGTATAGTTGTTTGCTTCTTCCTTCCATAATATTTCACTGAACTTGCACTGGATTTGGGTATGGTTCTTGAAGTTCTTGGAGTCTAGTTACTGTTATTGGATTGGTGATCTTGCTATAATCTTTCCTGGTGGTGTTGTTGGAATCATGTCGTTACATTACTTTGTTTCTTCAATTTTTCACATAAGGTGTTTGTGTTTTTGGGTCAATGAAATTTTATGCAGTGTTGATGAGAATTCTATATGATTAAGGTTGATTGCAAGAAATGTTGGTAGTTTGAAGAAATTTATGAAGTTGCTTTTTCAGAGAGTTGTCAATTGGTTCGTTGCCATTTCCAATTGTGACGATGTTTTCCGCTGACTTGTTTGGTGCTCGAGTTGGTCTCTGCTAATGATTTTGTAGTGTTTGGGAGTTTTGGTTGAGAATTTTGATGTGTTGATATCAAAAAGTGTCATTCTTTCTGTGTATATCTTGGAGTGTCATTCTCTAGGATTTGAGTTTCTTAGTTGAAGATTACGATTTGTAAATGCAAAGGAAGGAAGTGTCATTCTTTCTGCGTGTATCTTGGAGTGTCATTCTCATTGGTTAATTTTGGTGTTAGTATCTGGGAAGATTTAGGAAGCTATCAGGAGTGTCAATCTCCTTGGTTGATTTGGTTTCTTGCATTGTCATTCTCCTTGGTTGATTTGGTTTCTTGTAGTGTCAGTCTCCTTAGTTGATTTGGTGCCAGTCTCTGTAAAGTTTAGTTAGTTCAAATTTTTTTTTATTGCTCAAAACTCCTATGTAGATGACAAAGACTTCAACAAATTAGGATTAGAAACTGTATTGTGCAGAGCATTTTTCTGTAGCAACATACATTTCAGTGAGCCTCATGGGTTGATCAGTTGAGCTCTCAAGGATAAAAGCATGCCTGTATGGCTTTCAAGAAGTGGTTTCCTCTCTTCTTACAACTTCTGCCAAAGCCCACGGTTGGAGAATATGCTCTCTCCTCTCTGAAAAGTGATTTTAGGGCTTTTGTTGGCTTAGAACTGGATCATTCGCGCATTGGCTTCTCTAAGCTCTGACTTCATCAAATCTTTCTCCAACTTATGTACCATTAAGCATGTCCCTATTGGAAAACTCAGATCTCTCAGTCACATGGTCCTCATACCAAATCCCAGGCTTCACCACAACCTTTGTCATGCATTCAAAATGTCTTGCAATTCCATATTAGTTTCAGAGCCCTAGCTAGTTCAAACTTCACTTGGCTACACCAAGTTCCGTTTGAGGGGGGAGTAATAACAGAAATGCCACATGGCACTATTTCAGTAGTAGAGTTTGTTAGTATAGTTAGAAGGGTATTATTGTAATTAGGATATATGGCTATATATAGGATTGTATAGCTATTATTTCATTAAGTTCTATTGTTTACATTTTCTTTAATCAATCAATACAATCTTTTTTGTTTCTCTCTATCATCTTCCTTTTCCTCTGTACCAATTCTTCATCTTTTACAATGTAGTTAACAGACAGAAAGCCAAAATGCACCTTAAAATTACTTTTTAATCTTACTTTGTACACCAGTCTATGTATGATTTCTTCTTCATAACTTCATCATTTCTCTTCTTTCTTAAACTAAAAATAGGAATGACTCGAATGGGTCTCCGTGACTCATTATCACTACATAAAAAACACCTCTCCAGACGGATAATTTATGTCGGCTACACGTTGGTTTCGTTGTGGATGCCTTTAGCCAACGAAGGTTCGTCAGGAAGATTAGTTAGGCAAAATCCATCGTCCGAAACCTTGAACAACGATATCACAATTCCATCGGGCAAAAGGCAGTTAGCGAGGAAAATATTCTTCTAGTGAACGTGCGTTGACTGAATTGACCTGAAAAGGTCATCTTGCCCAACGAGGATATCTTATCGGCTAGCAAAGAATTAAATAATGTAATGAACTTGACTCGATGAAAGAGTTGTCAAGCCAACTCTAAGAAACAAAAAGTATAAAATTTTGCGGGGTAAAACGTCCGTCGAGCTAAATCTTTTTATGTTCAAAATTTATATTATTAATTTATTTAATTTCAAAATTTAGAAAAATATTTATAATTAATATTTACAATCAAAATAAAATAGTTTGCACGTACAATTATAATAAAAAAACTAAACATAAAAACGTAAACTACTCAGGTGGGTGCTGAGGTGGCTGTTGAGGTGGCTGCCGTTGGGGGAATGGCTACAAAAGCTCGGCCGAGGCTCTGGAATCCTAATGCCAGAAGCTAACAAGGGCTAGGCTACGACAGGGAAGTACAAGCACACTAATTCCTGGTCTTTCGCAGCAGCTTGTGCCAAGCTGTGAAGTCTAGACTTAAGTATTTTGGCTTTCCTTGTCAATGTTGTAATTGTACCACACTTACTCTAATTAGTTTTAGAATATATTCTTAAGGGTTGCTGTTGTTAAAAATAAGTGTTCAAGGCTGCTGGCATAACCCTCAAAGGTTTGTTCATCCATGTGCATTTCATGTTTAAATTCCTGTTGCCATCTAATCAGTTTAGTTGTCTCATCAGTTTTGCTTGCTGCCTTCACGTGAGTTGGGCATGCATTTTAAGACTGCCCACATGGGCTAATTGACACCTTTTTATTAAGAGCCAGCCTTTGACCCTTGATCTGTTCAGATCGGTTTTAGCGTTGACAAGTGTCTCTTGTCCTTGTTGGCTGAAAACAAACAAGTGTTTTTTTTTTTTTTTTTTTTTTTTTTTTGTTAAAACTGAAGCTAGGTTTTCATTTACTCCTTGGTTGTTCAGATTTTACTTTGAGAGTGTGAGAATGCATTAAAGCTTTGAAGCTTCCCTTTTTCCTCATAAATGAAACCCTAGTTGCAAAACCACATTCATGCAATAAAGTCCCAATCTTTGAGAAATAGGTTTGCATTATTTTCATGGTCTAGCATTTAAGTTTCAAATCATCTCATAGACCTTTGTTTTGGATTCTTGGTGAGTTTCTTCCTTCAACTGCTTGACTGAAGAGACCTTTTGAATCCATACTTCATGTCATTATCATCATCATATTACCATACATAGATCGTGTTGGCCTTGGTGCCACAAGGAGATTAGCTTAAGGGATAGAGCTGCCCTCTTGTGAAGACCAAAGACATTCTCCAACTCGTGCAAAGTATGGTTGCACAAAGGTAAAACTACTTCGAAGATTCTTGGAAATGAGTTTGATGTTGTACTTTGTATGAACCTTATTTGCAATAGTGGATGGACTCCATTGAGTCATCAGTTTTTTAACCCAGAGGTGCGTTTTTTCGGTCAAAACTTCATGTGTTCTTTATTGCTTAATCTTGTCCACATATTTAATTTATTAGCTATGATACATGCATTCTATGGCTTGTTATTTGATACGTGTATGTGCTTAAGTTTACATTCCATGATTATGAGTAATGCATTAGGTTGTTGTTGACTAGGATAACTTAAGTAAACTAAGTTTTGTTGCTGGATTTGTGTTTGGGTAACTAATGAATTTGTACTTAGTTGACTGGTGTATTTGACTAGTCAATCTAGCAAGCTAGCTCCATCTCCACCTGTTGAAGTCTGAAATCAGTCTCAGTCCAATGATTAGAGCTTGCTGAAGAAGAAGAAGATCCCCTGAGTTCATGAACTTTAACTCTATCCTACACTGGGAAGTTCGTTGCCTTTCAATCGCCCAACCCTTCCATAGACACATTTGTTGTTGCTAAGAGAGGTTAGCGAGGTACTTGTCCTTCTTTTGCATCATAAAAGCCTACAAAAAAAAAGGAAGCTAATAAAGATTATTGATCATAATGTAAACCTTATTTACTCTAATGAAATTTACAATTAAAACATAAAAATGAATAATTAAATAAATTTTGTTAGTGACCTCGATGCCATAATTGGCATGCGTCTCCCCGAAAAACTCTACCTGCAAGAAATGATAACCAGTCGTTCGCCGTTCCTTGACCTTATAAGATAAGGGTCAAGAACCGAAGTGGTGAAGGTACGCCTTCTTCTCTTGGTTACTATTATTTGCCGCCAATTTTTTCTATCCACTAAAAATATTAATTAACCTTAACTAAAAAAATATATAAAAATTGAACTAAAATTAAAATATAAATAAAATTTAATGACATGAAAATTTTCATTCTGAAAATGAATGTATAGCCAATGCCACTCGTCCACCCTCTCCACAAACTCCTGGGGTGAATCTGTAAGAGTTGCATTAGGCGACGCACAACATGTGTAGTACTTGTGCATCTCGCATTTCCACTCCTTATACGGCTCCCTAAACACATGGTCTATGTAATTGAAACAAGCATTGTCCCAATTGTCCCACTAGAAGTTTGCCTGAAATTCCCGGAAAAAAAAAACCAAATAGTTTAGTTTAAAACCACATAAAAATAAGTAAAGGAAAAAAAAACAAATTGAGAAAGTTATTGTATACTTACCGAAAGCTGTCGGTTCTTCTCAACACGGATCAAGGGGCCGTGCGTCTTCTAGGAATCGGCGATCATGGGGCATTTGGTGCAGATGATGGCACCTATGTTGTGAGTCAACAAACTATTGACTTTGGCACCTGCTCAACAGTGACTGGGGAAGCATATAACTCGAATATGCTTTTATTCACTCGAGTGATCTAATTGCTAGCAACCCACTACAAATCCTTATAGTTTTTTTTTTTTTTTTTTTTGGTTTTTGGGCGGGTAAGGATATCTCCATTCCCCACCTCCTCCACGATCGCTGAATCGGCCTATGCACTAAAGCTGCTTTAATAAGGGTGGGATGGGGCAAGGAAGGGCTGCCACAGGCTCGTGAAGACTGCAGCTATGAAGTCTCCTGGCACATCGAGTGGCCTAGGTGAATGGTTCACAAGTGCTCTCGCCAGTGGCCTACTCGACACCGGCAGCCTAGGTCCCGCTGGCCATTGGAGTGGCGCTGGGGCTGACCGCTCACTTTGAGCAGACGCGGAGGTAGAACGACAACCACTAGTGATCAAGTGCGAAGACACTTGTGAAAAAAAATCACATATTTTCTAAATTTGCTAAAATTCAAATAATTTCTAATGTTTCCTCAAATTTCGAACAATTTCTAAAATTACCTATGGTTTCAAATAATTTCTAAAAGTACACATATTTCCAAAATTTCACATAATTTCTAAAATTGCAAATAATTTCTAATGTGTTCGACCACCTCCCCCACGCCATTACCCCATCCCCATAACCTAAAACCACCACCATACCCCCATTTTACGTACCTGCCCTGTTCCACCTAAAACTACCCCGTACCCACACTACCCTATAACCACCTAAAACCACCCAGTAAACCGAATCCACATCTAAATTTCACAACAATTTCACATTTAGATTCACAACAAAATTAAATTCACAACCAAATTGAATCGAAATCACAAAACAAACAAAAAATGAAATCGAAATAAAAAACTTAAAGTGAGAGAAATATAGATAGGTAGTACAATGGTGGCGTGGTGGTTGGCTCACAGTGGTGACATGGTGGTGGCTCACGGCACGCGGAGGAGCGAGGGATTGTGTGGCTCACGACACAGTAGTGGCGATTGCAGAGAGAGAACTAAGAAAGAAGATAAGGATTGCGTGGTGGTGGCATGATGTTGGGTCACTGAGAGAGAGGACTCAGAGAGAATAGATTGCAGAGAGAGGGTTGCAACGTCGCGAGAAAGAGGAAGAAGAAACTCTCAATGTTATAAAAATTTAAAAACCTTTGGCCGACGGAAGATTCGTCAGGCAAAAGGCTTTAATTTTCTAACATATGTAGAAAATCCTAAAATTTCGTCAGGCAAACCCCAGATGCTCGTTGGGTAAGGTCACCTGAAATATTTATTTTGTTGAAAAAAATGGTGGGAAATTAATTTTGCTGGACGAATTATTGGAAATTTTTGTCGTTTAACCACTACTTTAGGGGAAAAATTTTAATTTTAAAAAAATTGGACGGGGGGAGGCCTTTTTATTTTGCCCCACGAAATAATGCTATTAGCCGGCAGAAGTTGAAAATTTGACCCGATACAAGTACTTTGTCGGGCAAATTTAAAAAAAAAAAAATCTAAAACTCTGAACATTAAGTTCAAACGCTTCAATATGACAAGCTCGGTCGAGTGCTTTCCCATCTTCATAGGTCGGCCTACAGTTCTGACCGAGTAAGAATGCAACACTGTCTGGCTCGACACTTGGGCGTAGGCCTTCCTCGCTCTAGTGGAATCCTTGATAGAGTAGATCCTTCGGACAAAGTGTAAATCACCTTCCTGCTGGCCGGATCACAATTTGCAGGGGCGCTCGACTCTTGAAAAGCAGTCGGCTAAGCCATTTACCTATCAATTTGCCCTTCAACGAACGAGTTCTTTTATATCTTCCTTGAGGTCCATGTGGTTGTCGATAAGATGACCACGTTCTCGGTGATATCAGTAATACTTGGTATCATCCATCCGCCCTTAGAAACAAGGCTGCACTCTCCGAGTAGAGGGCAGTTAGCATTCCACAAGAGGAAATTTATCCCCGAGACATATTCATGGGCATGTAGGATCTGTACCTGTCATATCGCTCAGGGCAACTATTAGTGATGCACTAGTGATTCTCATACCTTTTGTTCTTTGCCGGTTGGTCATACGTATCTGTTGACCCTAAAAACTACTAAGCCTACGTGGCACGCAAGCCAAGTAACTAATAAGCTAACTACGTCATTCAGTTGATGCGGGGCGTGCCAACTCGTCAACCGAGCTAGGCCGAGGAGTAAAAATGTGTTGATGTTGCGTTGAGCAGGCGGCTAACTTCTCGATCTTGCAACTGCGGCCGAGGAAGGAACACGTCCTGGCCTTTGGGTTCTAGAGCCTGAAGACAAGGCTGCTAATTTTGCGAAGTTCACAAATCGTCGGCCCTGGATTTGGTCACAATGATTATATTTGTAAGGGTATAAGCACGCCGAATCGACACTAGAGTATAGGGGCATAGATACTCAAAACAGATATATATCTTGATGGTAAATGTGGTTCGGCCGTTAGAATGCCGAACTCTAAAGCTTACTTGTGAGTATCCAATCATAAAACAACTTGGCGTTCAATGTGCCGAGCCCTAGTAGACTGTAACACTTCACCTCATCGAAAAGGCTAATGAGATGACCTCTACCAATAAAGACCGGAAAGTCTTTCTCGACCGAGACTTGGATAGATAACCAATCGGTCTCGACGCAGTGCTGTTTATCCAAACTAAAGGTGTTCCGCGATCGGCTGGTTCTACAGCGGTAGTGCTGTTTATCCAAACTGAAGGTATCACCGGTTGCTTTCACAGTGATGTTTATCCAAACTGAAGATGTGTTAGCGGAAAAAGAAAATAAAAAAAATCTCAAGATTGTTGAGAGAGTTTGCGCAGGGCAATTTGTGTGTTGAATTAGAAGGGCCCTTCTCCATCACTGAGCATCTTGTATTTATAGCATTATGTCTTCTACTTGCCAGATAACAATTTTGCAGAGTCCAATTACAACTCTAACTCTGTCAAATATCACTTTAGAACTGGTGTATAATCACCTTGGTCGTCCAATATCTCTAAGATATGATAAAGGCTATCTCCTAATTTTCCTTGAAAATATAAATATATCTTTCCACATACGTGACCTCATCAAATGAATGCATCCTATTCCAACTTAAACTTCTCTTTCTCCACCATGTTGGTCCAGGTACAACCATGCATGCATAATAAATTGCATTTCATTTGCAACACAACCTGATCTCTTTAAGAGACCATTTATTATAAAAAACCATCTGACGAACCTCATTGTCCTTTATGATTATCCATGACTTTTCAGATTAAAAAAATAAAACCTAGGCTTATCACATTACCAAAAGTCAGGCCTATCACTCTATTGTCGTATTAACCCACACATGCATTCATCCATCCTCACATGCTTCATAGCCGTACATATCCCAATATTCCAAATGGTCAAATCAATGGGGATTTAACAAATATTAGGTTTAAATAATTTAATATATTACTAAGGGATAATATCATGATTAAAATCACAACATTATTTCTCAATAATAATTGAAAATCATTTCAACCACCCTGTCATTCAACGACACTTGATTACTCGGGCCGATAATGTAAAATCGGGTCGAAACAGTAACTTCCTGTTTCGCCTTAACTGGTGTGCTTAGGCGATGCGTCCTTGTCGTCGGGGCGGCTATATGCATCCTTGTCTTGTTGAGATGATCGGTTAAGGAGTAGTTGGTTGCCTCATGAAACAGGTCTTTGAAGGTCTTGGGGGGATTTCGAGTCAGATGAAAATAGAAGTCTCATTTGGCAAAGCCCCCCATGAAGGCATTGTAGCCTGTTGCGTCATAGCATAGTTTGCATCTTGCATACTAATTGTTGAACCGGGATATGTAATCTCTTAGGACTCGTTTGGGCCCTACTTTACCGAGGTAAGGTCAATCGGTGTGTACTACCTTTTAGAGTGATCATATATATAACTAAGAAGTCTTGCCTCAGCCCCGAGAAGAACGTGATGGACCCCGGGGCAATTTGCTTGAATCAATCCCAATCTGCCCCCCTAAGGATGGCTGGAAAAGGCTGCACTTGGTGAGTCGTTATTTCCTCGGCCTTCAATAGCGTAAATGAACCCATCCAAGTGGTCATATGGTTAGGTGAGTTCTTTGTAGCTTTGCATTTTGAGTGGTCGGGTATTTCCACTTGTTGGTTCGTCGAGCAATTCCTTGGAGAATCGCAAGGGAACTTCTTCCTCAGAGTAGTCGGGGTTCTTGGCAGACGCTCGCTCTATGTCTCCCAGTCCGTCTCACACATTTTTCATTTCCTCACCCATGACTTTTATCAGGGTGCTTCTTTAGTCAGGGTAGTCGGGAGGAGTTTTAGTCGAGCCCTTCATTATCTGTTTGATGGCTCGCTTCTGATTCCTCGAGCACTTTCCTCTGGTCGGAGCTTCTTGCTGATGACCTCGCGTGCATCCTCACCTCTGCTCCCGACGTCGCCCGAGAGAAGAGGAGGATGAGGATTAGCCTCTACTCGGGACGTGATGCCGATCTTCTCATTGGTTTGGTTTTGTTCAAGAAGATCGTCATGCTCCTCCTGGAGTAGGGTGTTTTGGGCATGGAAAAGGTCCCCTACCTCATTCATCTCTCCAACGTCGACAAGTATGTCATTCATCTTTTCCTCCAAGCTGGTGAGCCTGGCCCTCTCTTCTTGTCTTCTTCTTCGGGGGTTGTCTCAGGTCTGCACAAAAGGGCCCTATCTCTCATTATTTTGCTGGTCATCCTGCTTGATTAACCACGATCACAGAAATTTCCTAAGATAGCTGGGTAGAAAACACAACCAAGTCGTATGCATTTCCCAAAATATTAACGCTCAAAATATGTAGGTTAACAATTTAAAATACTAAACCCTTGATGGGCTTGGGATATGAACTGAAATGAAATGGACTCAAAGATTTAAGTGATTCACCCCTCAAAATTGGGCTACATCCAATATGTGCTCACATTGCTGAGGCTAGTTTCCATGAGGCCAAGAACCAGGTCTTAATCGCATTACCCTTCGTTGTGACCAATCTATGCTTTCACCTAACTTGTCTCATATCAATAATGTTTGCTGGGCACCTTGGTGAGCTCGAGCCACACTGGCTAACGAGTGGGCAACCACTACTGGTTTTGTTGTTATGGTAAGTTAACTGTCTTATTGACATTTAACCTTGCCCTTATGTTCTTAAAAATATTCTAGTGGCTATAAAATTTGGAAGTATATGTATTTGAGAATTTATGTGCTTTCCCTTGAAACATTTTTCTTGTCTAATTTTTTCTTGGTTTAGGTTGGCTTAAGTGGAGCTCTAGAAACCTTGTGCGGCCAGGGGTTTGGAGCAAGGGACTATACGATGTTAGGAATACATTTGCAGGCCTCTTGCATAGTTTCTCTCCCTTTCACCATCTTCATAGCTATACTTTGGTTCTATAGAGAGCCAATACTTATTTCTATCCGCCAGGATCAGCAGATTGCAAAATATGCTGCTCTATATATCAAATATTTTATTCCAGGATTATTTCCTTATGCTAGTTTACAAAATATATTAAGATTTATGCAGACACAATCAGTTGTCTTACTCCTATATTTCTTTTCCGTTATTCAAATGGTTGTTCATGCTGTAATATCATATAGTCTAGTACATTGGACTGCTCTTCATTCCAAGGGAGCTCCTCTAGCAGCTTCAATATCAATATGGATATCGATGCTAATGTTAGTGTTCTTTAAATTTTCATTACTTTAATTTAGTGGTTGGACTTTCAGCATTTCAAAATTAAAGTAATGAAAATTTAAAGAACACTTACCATACCATTAATGCAGAGGGGAGACCGAGTTTCAAATTAATACGAACACAGTGAGCGGTCCAATGTACTAGACTATATGTTATTACAACATGAACAACCATTTGAATAAAGGAAAAGAAATACAAACTAGCATAAGAAAATAATCCTGGAATAAAAGATATATAAAGAGCAGCATATTTTGCAATCCGCTGACCTGGCGGATAGAAACAAGTATTGGCTCTGCATAGAACCAAAGTATAGCAATGAAGATGGTGAAAGGGAGAGAAACTATGCAAGGGGCCCGCAAATGTATTCCTAACCTCGTATAGTCCCTTGCTTCAAACCCCTGGCCGCACAAGGTTTCTAGAGCTCCACTTAAGCCAACCTAAACCAAGAAAAAATTAGACAAGAAAAAGTTTCAAGGGAAAGCATATAAATTCTCAAATACATATACTTCCAAATTTTATAGTTATTAGAATATTTTTAAGAACATAAAGGCAAGGTTAAATGTCAATAAGACAGTTAACTTACCATAACAACAAAACCAGTAGTGGTTGCTCACGCGTTAGCCAGTGTGGCTCCGGCAAGCTCC